CCTGAGACTAAACCACTGTCTTTGTCATATGTGTTCCCTGAGTGCTGAGGGTGGGGCGATCTGACCCAAGGCAGAAGAACCGCCATGGGAAGGATGCAGTGAGGTCGGAGTGCCTCTCACGTCATTCTGTGTGGGAGCCACCCACCGTCCCTGGGCCCAGAGCCAGCTCCGGCGGAAGATTGGATCAAGGCAATTTGCATGTCTGTTTTCAGGACATGAAGTTTTGTCTGCCCATACAAAGTGAGGGGCCGATCGATGCAATCATGCAGAAAACTTAATTTAAAAAAAAAGAAAAGGGATATGACCATCTTGCGTTCTATTAAGAACCACTTGCATTTTCTGTAGAATGTGACAAAGTCATCTTTAATAAAGAACCGTTCCTGTTTTAGTGAGAGACTAGAGCTTTCCCTCGTGGGTTCTAACAAACAGTGGTGAGAACAGAAAGATCCAGCTTGTCTGCTGCAGACCCAGGGCTGGGTACTGTCCTTTGTCGGTGACGTCACTTGAGCCCACAGTTGTTGTAAGAAATGGGATCTCCGGCTCAAAGAGACCATGTGCTGGCCCAGTTTTCTCATGGCCCGCCAGTGGCAAAGCCCAGCCTCAATTCAAAGTGTGTGGAAATACCCAGAAATTTTACACAGTCCTAGCAACTCTGTGTTGAAATTCTTCTATAAATAGTTCCCTGGTTCTTTCCAATTTTCATTGACTTGGTATAATGCAAGCCATTCAGCAATATGATACTGAGAGATATTTCCTTTTCAAAACATTGCACAGATTCATGATTTCCTCTCACTTTTTACCCTGTCAGAGAAATAGGAAACAAGCAAAGTAATAGGAATTTACCTCCAAGCTAGAAAGCCTTGCAAGTGATCACCAAGGAGGGTTCCTAGTTACCAAGGAGACCATAATAGACTCGATGATATTCAAGTACAACACTTGGGTTGCCTGGTGAGTGAATGCCAAAAAAGCGTAGGAAAATATTATCATTGCTGAAACCATTTGATGTCAATGACTAATGAAAAAACATGTTGGCAAATTGAATTTTTCAAAATGCCCAAAGGGTTTGATTCAAGCAATGAATTAATAGCATACAGAAGTTCTGTCTGGAGAAATAGAAAAAAAAAAAAAGACAAAGATACTACACTATTATAAATCTGTCTGGGTAACCAAGTTTCTAACAGAAACCTTAGGGAACTAATCTATTCCCTTTACTCAGCTCTTCACTAAGACTGAATTTTCCCCTCTGCTTTCCTTTGTGACTAAAGAATGATTTGTATATTTTGCATCACATTACCCATGAATATCTAAGGCCCCACAGCTGTTGGCTGACTTCTCACCAAAACTGGGATTTTCTCTCAAGTGACCTGGCTATTTCCAGAGGCCTGGAGGGGTTAGGTGCCTGTTCAGACATGTGCTGTGCTGCAGTGGGGGCTGCAGGAAGCCAATGGTGGGACGAGCCTGGCTTGGGCCGGCCTGCCAGCCACCACCTGAGCCAGATCCCAGAGGTGAATATGGGCCAGCCTGAGAGGCTCACCCCATCTTGGCTGGGTGGCGCCCACAGTTGGAGCGCCCTGCCAGGACGCATCTTGTCTTGTTACAGACAGAGCTCATATTGTTGGAGGTATTTTATCAGATTTTGTGCCAAAATCTGCATCCAGGTGTTTTCTAGTCATTGTTCTTTGTGGTATTTTTGGGAACGACACCGTTTGTCTCAATTTCCTTCCCTATTGAATAGCCCAAAGATAACCAAAGTCAACTGTCCTGACTGCCCTGGACACTGTCTTCTCCAAAACCAATGTCCTCCATTTCCCTCCCTCTCTCAGACCGTAGGGCAAATGTAAAAATATACTGGAACACGAAGAGGCAGGGCATATCATCACCATGAGAAAGGAAAAAAGGTTTTATGGAAATTAGAATTTGTTTCTTAGAGTTAAATCTGTTTAACTGGAAAGCTTAGGTTTCTAGTGGACACTGAGTTTATTCAGAGTCCCTACATTTTAGCCATCAAATCATTCCATCAAGATGGAAATACAACTGAATAAGTGTTTTTCTTAGTGACAGGGACCAGGTCAGCATTTTATGACTTCCCATCAATTTTTACCAAACTGTGTGTGTGTGTGTGTGTGTGTGTGTGTGTGTGTGTGTGTGTGTGTTTTCATTTATTTACTGTTCATACTTACTTTGAGAAAATTTTTCCAGAAAGATGCTTATCTGTCTATGAATAGTTGTCATATTACTTAAGAATTTTAAATATGATCCATTACAAATTATATGGTAGTGGTTGGCACTGGTTCGAGATCTGGCTGTTTCACTTTCAGTCCAGCTCTTTCCTAATGTTCCTGAGAAAGATGCAGAGGACCCAAGCACCTGGGCCCCTGCACCCACATGGGAGACCTGGAGGAAGCTTCAGAATCCTGACTTCAGCCTGGCCAAGGCCTGGCTGTTGTAGCTTTTTGGAGAGAGAGTCAGTGAATGGAAGAGCTGTGTCTCTCTCTCTCTCACTTACTCTGATGTTTGAATAAAGAAATAAATCATTAAAAAAATAAAAGTTATAGGATAGAACCAGTGTTGAGATAGATGGGGGTTAAGCCTGCATTCTGTAACACATTGCTCATTTGAGTCCTAGCTAGTCTGCTTCCTGTCCAGTTTCCTGTTAATACATCTTAGGAGATAGGGGATGGTGGTCTGGCTGCTTGGTCCCCTGCCACCAAGGAGAACTGATGGATTGAATTCCAGTCTCCTTGCTTCAGCCTACCTTAGCCCTATCTGTTGCAGACATTTGGGAGTAAATGGGCAGATAAAAAATAGCTCTCTCTCTCATTCTCCCCTCTTTCCCTCTCTTTCAAGTAGATAAAAATAAATCAATTAAACTTTTTAAAAAAACATATTACAGGATGATCAGCATAAGCAAATCAAATCTTCAGTTCTTTCTGTCTCTCAATATGATATAATTAAAAATTCCACATATACAGAAAAGTTGAAATAATTTTATAGCAACCACCCATACACTGAACAATGAGAAGCTCCAGTTAACATTTCTGCCACTTGCATTTTGTCATATAATTCTTCATGCCTCCATCTATCTGTGCATCATTTACTTCTGTATGTCTATGTTACCTGCTCTCACAAGGAAGCCTAATCCTGAACATCCCGCCATGTACATCATTCTAAGTTCTTTGATCCTTTTCATTTATACTCTGTTCGGAACCCTTCTTGCCATGGTTTTCATTCTTCTCTGTTTCCTATGTTTTCATTTCTGTGTCGTTTCTTCACCTTTCTGTCTCTAAAGTTCTAGAGGGGGAAAAGAACATACAAGAAATTGAAGCATTGAATGGTCTCGAAGTAGCAGCAGGAGAGGTCACTGCTGACCACCCTGTGCTTTGCCTGTGGATCTGAAACAAATGAGATGCTTATGATTTGGTTCATTCCAGTTCTCAAGGGAGGGAGGTATAGCTTCGCACACCAATATAATGGCAATAAACACAGCTCTCAAGTAGATGTATTTCCTGAATAGTCCAGGTCCTGTCTGAGCTGATTTTCATGGGAGCCTGAGTGTGGAAGGGTTTTGGTGGATGGAGACTCAGAGGTAATTAGCTCGAATACCTAATCAGCTTGGATGTTTAATGCCTCAGGCCTAGGGGGTCTTCGTGGATCCCAGAGCAGTGATGACATGACCTCAGGAATACTACCTTCCACTAGAATGAGCTGCCACAGAAACCCAGCACCTGTGATATAGCTCAGGATGCTCAGGATGCACCCTGACAAGTTCTACTCCTCCAGCTTCCTTTAAAGAAGTCCCACAACTACTGTTTTGCTTTGAAAAACACATCTCTTCCAGCAAGCGCATGTCACCTTTAGTGAAATCTCGGTCTTCATGCTTTGGATGTGGAGGATAGCCTGTCTGTAAAAATGGGAGGTCTGAGCTACCTAATCCCATCGTTGATCAACCGACCTACTGGCCTGATTCTGAAAGCAGAGGAGCCTTTCAGACACCCAGGGAGAATAGCTCTCCCTGGGAAGCAAAAGCCATACCTTGGGGCTGGCTCATGGTTCAACAGGATAATCCTTTACCTTGAAGTGCCAGCATCCTGTATGCATACTGGTTTGTGTCCTGGCTGCTCCATTTCTGATCCAGCTCTCTGCTTTTAGCCTGGGAACTCAGTGGAGGGTGGTGCAGGTCCTTGGGACTCTGCACACTCATGCAGGAGACCCAGAAGTTTCTGGTTCCTGGCTTCAGTTGTATGCTTGATAAGCATTGTTAATCAATTATTTCCTGTGCTTCCTAATGATCATCCTTCCTTGTGAGCAAAGCCTGGGCCAGGTGGGGTCTTCAGAGCAACATGAAGCTGATAGTGTGGTCTTCTCCCTAGAGGCAATTCCACCCACAGTGCAGATGGTGCCTGTTCTCACCCAATCAAGTCCACTTTAAAATCCATAAAAAGAGCTATGTAGACATCTGATGAAAAATCCCTTGCTCATGTAGTGATTTCCTAAGGTAGTTCCTGGCACTCCCATATTCCACTGCTCGGAAAATATACTGATGTTTAACCATGTCCCAAAGTCAGAAGTCTCGGAGTCAGTAGCTGTCACATGCACATTTCTGGGTACCAGCATCCACTACAGAGTTCACTGGAGTGGAGCAACCTGCCAAGGTTGGCAGGAGAATAACTCAGAATCCAGGCTCTGCCTGTTTCACAAGTCTACCCACACAACCTGGGAAAAGTGCTGCTGCTTTTAGACACTAACCCCTCAAGCAACCAGAGTTTTTCACCAATAGTTTCTGTTCCAGGCAGAAAACGTTCAGGGTTGAGATCCAGATAAAAGGATTTAAGTACTCTCGCAGGAGCCCCAGACCTCAGACAGCAACCAGCAATGTGGGTAGACAAAGCAGGGAATTTCATGTCAGCAGGCTTCAATTGCACTGTCTTTCCAAGTTATTCATTCCTTGTACTTCACTATGTCCAGTAACAAGGTTTTTTTGGTTTCTTTCTTTTTTTAAGAAACTGAAGCACAAAAAGAAAATGGAAAAGCTGCGAACTGATTTGGCAACAGCCAAACAAGAGGCTGCCATCATGGCGCTGGAGTTCTCAGAGAAGATGAAGAGGCTGCACGAAGAAAGGCCCTCTCCCAGAGGTCAGTGTCAGCACGCGGCGCTTGCACAGAGCTCAGGTCCAGACTCAGGGTTGTCCTTTGATCAAGGCCACACCAGAAGCCTCAGGTGCTTGCGGGCCCAGCTTGGCCACCATGCTAGTGGACAGAGAAAGTGTGTGGTCAGTTCAATCCCTGCGAGATTGGCTGTCCCTGTGTGAGAAAGGAGGAGGAGCAGGTGGTTAGCTCAGGGGAAGTTCCTGACGCTGGAGCACAGCATATTGAAATAGCTCTCAGAAGTGTCGGACAAGCCATTGGCAGTGAATGCCGGACAGAGCCTGAGAAAAAGATGGTGGCTTTCAGGCCCAGGGCTGTGGGGTTGTGGGGGGAGCTGATCTGAAAGTGCAGGCTGGCTGCCAAAGACAGGCATAAGCAAAGGCAGAGCTTGTTGTTTTGCTGATGGACTAATGAATGCCAGATTCAGGGGAGGCTGGTGGTCGATGGAATCTGCGTAGCTCAGGAAAATGGTAAGAGCACGTCGGCTGTGGTTGGCAGCGGGCATTTTGCTAAGCATTGTCTGTATGCAAGAATTTAACAGATTTCCACAGAAATAAACAGAAACTCACAGGTGCTGGCTGCCTTTTCCCGGGTCAGACGCACAAGTCCCACCTGCACAGTGAGCCTCAGAGTAGTAAGTTGGTCCTTCCCAGGGAATCTTCCTGGCATTGGTGGAGTGAGGGGCTGGCCTTCCTCTCTGTGTCACAAAAGCATCATTTCTGCCCGGTGGGGCTCTTGCAAAGCTAGCGGTTCCCAGAAAGCAGTGTCTCCCTTTGATGTATATGCGTGTCTTTCCACAAGGCAGGAACATGCCATTGTTCTTACTCTAGCTTCCTTTATTACTCACAAGAAATTCTGGAAAAAGAGGTGCAACATGGAAACCAGTGGAGGAGAAGGAGGTGGGTGATGCTGTGGCTGCACAAGGGAGACACACCCAGCATCCTGACTGCGTGGTGACACTTTTAATAGGAATTTGGTTTGCATTTGCCATCTGGGATAGTGTTCTCATGGGATTCCAGTGGAGGGTGACAGTCTCCCGGGAACACATGTGGAAGGCCAACTTTTTGCACTTTGAGGGAAATAGCATAAAGATGGTTGATAAATCTCCCCTCACCGCCTTGCAACCTGGAGGGTAAAATCCATGAGACAGTGGTATCCGTTTGGTCTTTATTCGAAGGCCAGGTTTGCAGTGACTGGCTAACAAGGAACTGACGGTGACGACAGAATCCTTTGAGAAAAGTCTTCAGCTCACTTGAGAGTTTTTGACTTTTCAACTGTGTCACGAACCGAAGGTACAAAATGTTATGGCAACACAGCTAGTTCTGGTTGCTTTTCTTTTAAATAAAAATGCTCTCATTTGATGTCTAATAACACTCGTCTCTTGAGTATCTGGTCAAAATGTAAGTAACCCTGGGGTAACAAGGTTGCTGGTTCAGGGAAGGAAAGACACTTCAAGTCCTGCCTTTCCCTCTCAGCCCAATTTTTCTGCTCTGTTTGTGCGATAAGCAAACAAAACAAGACCAATGTAGGAAAAAAAAAACCTGATGTTTTTATGATAAATATTTAAATTTTTTGGAGAAGCATTGATTCTGAAGTCCACTATTTTTTTCTTTTTTTTTAATTGTTTCCGACAATATAGCTGTGTAGGTATAGGGGTTCATCCCTTAACATCTTCCCCCAACTCTCATCTTCCATTCTATCACAGATAGTGTAGGCCCTTAGTACAAGTTACAGATTTAACTCTCTGATATTTTAATGTATTATGACATTGTAAATATAGAGAAAGGTAAAAAACCTAGTATCATAATGTAGAAGTGTATTTATAAGTTTCATTGGGAGTTCTACTTTTATTCAGAAGGAGAGTTGCATATTGCATAGTGTATCTTTATTTCCCAGTCTGCTAGTCTTCCTTGTACAGTTAATTTATGTGAATATGCACCCATATACTTGGTTACATATGTACCTACATTATAAATACGTATAGTAATTTACATATTGACTGTCCCTTTTGAGACTGGCATATTTCACTAAGCATATTTTCCAGCCGAAGCATTTTTGTTGCAAATGGCAAGATTTCATTCTTTTTTAAAATGGCGAAGTAGTAGTCCACTGAGTAGATGTACCAGTTTTTTTATCCGTTCCCCTGCTGATGGGTGTTTGGGTTGATCCTATGTCTTCGCTATTGTGAATTGCATTGCTATAAATACAAGTTTGCAGATAACTCTCTCATGCAGAGTTCTCATCCTTTGGGTATATTCCCAGGAATGGGTTGGCTTGGTCATATGGTAGACCACTTCTTAGTTGTGTGAGCACTCTCCACTGACTTTCCATGGTGGTGGTTCTAATTTACATCCCCACCAAAAGTGGATTAGGGTACATTTTCCCCCACATTCTCAACACCAGTTGATGTTGATTTCCGCATGTAAGCCGTTCTCACTGGAGTTAGGTGGAACCTCATTATGGGTTTTATTTGCATTTTTGTAAGAGCTAGGGAACTCGAACCTTTTTTGTATGGTTATTAACATTTTGAATTTTATCTTTGGAAAAATATCCATTCATGCCCTTTGCCTGTTCCGTGTTTTGCTGCTGTTGAGTTTCAGGAGCTCTTTGTAGATCTTGCATGTTTGTCCCCTATCTGTGGAATAGTATGTGAAGATTTTCTCCCATTCTGTTGGTTACCTCCTCACTTACCATTTTCCTTGCTGTACGGAAGTTTCTTAATTTGATATAATTCCATTTGTTTATTTTGGCTTTAACTGCCTGTGCTTTGGGTGACTTTTCTAAGAAGTCTTTGCCTACGCCCATTCCTTGTAGCATGTTTCCTGTGTTTTCCTGCGGTCCATTATGAATCAAAGCAATGAATCTCTGAGGCAAATGTTGTGGCAAGCAGGTTAAACTACTGCTTTGGACACTCTTATGTCCCATGTGGGAGTTTATGTCTCACCTCCGCTTCTGAGCCAAGCACCCCTTGGGACACAGGGGAAGACTGCTCAAGTGCTTGCATTTCTGCCACCCGTGTGGAAAACCAGGATAGAGTTCCTGACTGCTAGATTTGGTCTGGCCTAGCCCCAGTCATCTCAGATATTTGGGAAATGAGTTTACAAAAGGAACAAGATTTCTCTCTGTCTCCATTTCAAATTTAAATAAGTAAATAAATAATCTCATTAAGAAACCAGTGAGCCCCTTTTAGACTTGCATGTTGCTTCTCTTAGGTGATGGAGAAAATGAGTCAGCAGATTGACTTGGGACACTAAGATCTTATTGCAAACATCAGCACATCATCCCACTGGCTTCACATACTCTTTCCCTGAATTCCCATAATCCCGGACACCGTCAAGGGCATTATGGCCCCAAAATCATATAAGCTGACATTCTCAGTGGCTACAACTCTGGATTCATTTCAGAATAATATCTGAAAAAAAAATTCAATAACCATAACATCTATGATCCCTATTTAACCACAGAACAAGCAGGGGCTGACCCACCCCCCACGCATATTTCTGACTTAAATACCACCTAGTTATCCTCAGTCCTTATTTGCAAAAGCCAGACGCCTGAGCCATCAGAGCTTGAAGAGAAATGATGATTTATTAGCGTTTGTCAACAAACCAAAGAAAAGCAGGCATGCTGTTAGCCTGGCAGTCTACTGGATTCAGGCCTAGATAGCATCAGGATACTCTGTGTTGTGTATCTGTTTCTTTCTCTATTGGAACTCCATTCTCTAAGGTTGGATGTCAGAAGAGATTGGGAACAGGATCCTGAACAGCTAGGGGCTGCTCTCCTTATCATCCGTGCTCCAGAGAAGCAAGCAGCTTCTTTTTTTTTTTTTACCAGCTGTGGTCAAAAGAAATGTAAGGAAGAACTCTGTCCTGGCTTGGATTGATTATTCATCCCTGTGGTCAGGGTCAAACTGACAGAACAAGGTTTGATCATACACCTGCCACTGGATGGCATGGTGGGGGGAAATGGATTGGCCAAAAATCATTTTCTAAATGAAGGGATAGCCTGTTACTGGAAAGAAGGAGTGGTGGACAAGAACCAACATCTCGAATATACTCCCAGCAACTGGTCAAATTCAATTATAATGTAATGGGTAATGAGTCATCCCTCCCAGGTGCAGATGCATGAAAAATAATTCTTCTCCATGAACATATTCTAAGAAATAAATTCCCAGTGGTATCATTTCTGAGTCCAGAATTGATAGGACATGTGCCATTCAAGAATTTGCTTCCAGGCTCTACCCAGTCATCTGTCTGCCTCTCTGAAAGCCTGCTTCAGGACAGTTCTCATGGCAAGAAGGGGGAAGCATTGATCCGCAGAGACATGCAGAGTTAAGTGGAATCATATGAAGCTCCTTCATTTCCAGTCTGTACGTTGCTGTACAGGTTTTCTGATCAGTGAAATGTTCCAGAATATTTTTAAGCATGTTCATATTTAAATTGCTGTGAGAGGGAACTACCAAACTTTTCCTCTACCTTCTTTTCTTTCTTTCTTTTTTCTTTTTCGTTTCTCTCTCGCGCGCTCTCTCTCTCTCTCTCAATATAAACTCTGGAAGCTATCCATTGGCTATGCATTTACATTTATTTCTTCAAGGAAATAAATGATTGGAGGCAGTGAAAGGTTCAGTTAAAAAGAAAAACAGCTTCATTTATAAAACTGGCATAGCAGGAAACTTACTTAAAACCTCAATGTAGTTTGTTGATTTTTCTTTGTGCAAATACTCAAAGCCTGGGACTGGTCCCTTCTGGTAGCCTGTACCTCAGGTGCTTGCATCATTATTAACCATGCCTGTTTGGACTCCTGCAAATTTAGAATTCACCTTTTCAACAGATCTCTGTATGTAGCAACCTCGGGTTAAATCTCGAAGCTGCCTTTGTTTTAGGAAGCCAAACTTTGCAAAAGAGTTTACAGACTGAATCCTGCTGGTGGAGGATAGTAGTCACTTGATACTTTGAAAGATCCTGTCTTTAAACAGAATACAGATTGCA